TCATGTTCTTTTGAAGATGCGGAAATTTTTTTTTTTACGATTTTATCGCTTAAAACACTTTTCTTTGAACATTATGTGCAGTTGACATAATTAATATTATCGTCATCGAAGCGTCGATAAGAAATGTTATATTTTATATTTTAGAAGACAATGTTGTTTTTGAAATTTTAAAGCGAATTCTTCTCAAATCAAAACGGAACTTTTATATTGAAAATTTAATTAAATGCAAATTTAAAAGGTTCTTATAAACTTTAGATTGCGTGAAACATAATCAATTATCGTCAATTTGACTTTTAATTACTAACACATTTAATATCAAAAAATGCAAAAAATATAGCATTAATAATAATTCTTTATTATAATTCAAGTTCAACAATTCTAAATTATAATACATTGAATTGTTCGGAAAGCTTCGTAGTATTTTTCCAGGAAATATAATTTAATTAGAAGAACTATAAGTAATTAGACAAATTTTCCAAGCAATCTATTATTTCCAATGTTTTTGCTTTTGATAATTGTCGAGCAATTTCCACAAATAGATTGCCGAATTATTCCGTTATCGAGGAGAAGCTCGAAGTATATAATCATCTTCAACCTTCCGATTGTGAAACTCAGTTACGAACTTGTCCGGATTTCTCACGTAAACAGGGAATTATGTGGGTGCTCTTATTATATATATATGCGTGTGTGTATATATATTGCATATATATATACCTGTATAATACCCACATAATTCCCTGTTTACGTGGAAAATCTGGACAAGTTCGTAATCGAGTTTCACAATCAAAGGGTTGAAGATGATTATATACTTCGAGCTTCTTTTCGATAACGGAATAATTCGGCAATCTATTTGTGGAAATTGCCCGACAATTATCAAAAGCAAAAACATTGGAAATAATAGATTGCTTGGAAAATTTGTCTAATTATATGTATATAATATAATCCTGCTTCTTTCGGATAATGACAAAAAAGTAAACACGAAAGGTTAAAACTAGCTGATGCTAGTTTACTGACGTAAAGTGGAGAGATGTGACGTCTACGGGAATAATATCGTGTTGGCAAAGTTGACGAGAAGTAATTGATTGATTGAGAGGTAATTGGACACACCTATGTTAGATCGCGACGAAAATCGAATCGCACAATCAAAAACTGAGCGGGATTACACCACTTCTCTGATTCGTCATTATCGCATAATAATATTGCTTAATCGAGTCTACAATGTTTATCAAGTCGATTATACCTTCGAGCATGTAGGAAGAATATGTTCTTGAGAAGATGACGTGCAAATTGAATTATGTATGTGTCTAACAATAAGCGAAATAATTATGGTGATCGAATGGACGAACTTGTTGGGGAAGTTTGTGAAAAGTTATGGAAGGTTAATCTAAGGAAGGACAATGAGAACAAACATATATATTATACTTTACGTATAAAAATGTTGTTATATTTTTTGTCGTCACAAATTCAAGAAAATGGCTATTTTAATGGTATTCCAATTTTTAAATTATTAATGGATGAAACAAATATTACTAGTAAGACAGAAGCGTCGCGAAGTAGTGTTTGAAGTAGACGGTAAGGTTGATATCGAAGTCTAATGTCTTTTGCGATGTCAATCGAATGTTGTTCTTCAATTATCAATGAATTACGTCACAGAGCTTGTTGCCAATGGCAAATGTCAAATATAAATGAGCCTGTTAAATCCTGATCTGTTAGTGAAGTGATTGCATACATTTCTACATTTTAACCTTCGAAAGTACATCATTTAGAATTTTATTTGTGGAAAGAAAAGATATAATGAGAAAAATAATATTGAAATCGAAATCCAAGATCACTTGGACCTAAAGCAAATCATGCTTCAACGAAGTCAAAATTTTATAGGTATATATATTAAAAAATTGAATAATTAGCAAACAATAGCTAATTGGATATGAGAAGTCAAGTGTTTGGTTTGAGATATAATTTATTTAATCAAAGTAATAAAATTTTTTGATATCCTGATACCGTTTAAATTATATTATTTTCACAATTACAAACATTATAAATACAAACACTGTTAATTAGAATTATTTTAAAGTTATTTGCTCTATTTACTCTCTTATATTTTTGTTTATTATATTACTTTACAGTGTAGAAATAATTTGTATTAATGATTTTATCAGAAAAAAATAAAAATTAATCTAGAAACAAAAATGATGACATAGTAGCTTGCTGATATTGCTGATATTATTAAAATTGATTATAGATAGAATTGATAAATTAGAAAAATAATAAAATATATAATGATAATATTGCTTCTCTTTAGTAAATTACAGAAAATTTGTTAGTTTACGTCTGTCTTAGTAAATTTTACTCACGATTTAACGTAATTCAGTTTCTCTTTTCCATTTAAAGTATTTTGAATTCTCCAGAACTTTTTTCTTAATTAAATATGAGATTTATGACAAGCTTTTTAATGAGATAAACATTGTTAAATACAAATTCTGTAATAAATAGTTAGCAAATAAGACATGATGTTAGATATATCTCGCTCTAATTACTTAAATTTATAGCTCAATTTTAAAGAATTCTTGCTCACCATAAATTTAACGAAATTACTGGCGCTGTTTTTACATTATTAATGTATATGTATTATACACATATACATTTTTTATTTTTTTATGGCAATATGTTATGTAAAAGATATTGCACAGATTTCATGTCCACTAAAAGTTCGCACAAAAAGCGACATTTGCCTCTATTTAATTTGCCGTATATATACTCGTTCATTTCAGCTCTGAATTCTTTTGCGTATAATAAAAATTATTTTTGACGTGTAAATTTGCATTTCCCATAAATTAAATTTTTCTATAATAATATTTTTCTAATAATATTTATATTATTAATATTTATTTTAATTAGAATTTTCTTCATATAGAAAGTAAATATTCTTACTAACAATAAATAAAATGAACATTCTTACTAACAAATATAATAAAAATTAAATTGAATAAAATATGAACTTTCAACTAATATTAAAACTTTTAAAATGGTGGTAAATTGACTATACATTTAATAAGGTATACATTTACAAAATAAATTTTATAAAATAACTTTGAGCTGCGATAATTTATATCTACATATCATTATGAAATTTTAATTTAATTTTAATTGTATGAGTCTGTCAATTTAAAGACTAAAACAAGATGTAGGAATTTATTAGTAGAAATGCGCGAGAGTAAAAAAGATGCAGTAAAAAGTTTTTTCTGTAGTTTAACAATTTAATGTAATTTTTGGTGCAAGTTAAAGAGCGAAATGCATTTCAGTGAAAAGTTCTATTCGTGAGAAAAAACGATAATGCGCATTTTTTAAATGACAGTAACGATGTTATCGTCATTAAAACGTTGTGAGCTTTAGTAAGTTAATTGTGCATTGTTCATTATCATACGCAGATCAACTCAATAAAATAACATATAGCGTCAAGATAACAATTTATAATACATTTTAAGATAATGTGACACAATAGTGTATTAAAAATACAAAAGTTATAATACAATATAATTTATTTTTTATTTACTTTATTGCTTATATTTTTTGACGATTTAAAAATTAATATTCTTAATTTAGTAAGAAACTTTATATAATATGTGTATATACATATTCTCATGTGTTAGTACATATCTTGCAAACTTTTTTCTAATGAAAAATTCTACTTTCTCGTGTTCCGCATTTTGCAACAATTGTCGAAAATAAAAAGCACTTTACGAAATTATTGCTTTATGTTACAAAGTGATTTAGAGAGCTTTCAATTTCAATTTTATCTCTTGCACTCTACTTTTATGCTTTGTCATATGTGAAAACGGGGCCAAATGTAAAATTTGAAATTAAGAGTTTCTTCACGGAGTAATCCCTTGAAGTAATTCGTAAACCAGTTTAAAGAACAAGAAATATGTTCCGTACATATTTCTATATATTTGTTCTCATTCTCGAGTTAACGAGTCAATAATATAAATTTACGTATGTTTTGATTTTTTAAACGTATATGTGGACTAATGATATTTAATTTTCCTAAAAGGAGCAAAAAGCTTTTTAATGAAACGAAATATCATTTTTATCGATCGCGAGATATTAACGAGATATAAAATGTGAACGTGCTTAGAGGAAATGAGATAACAGTTAAAAAAAATAATAACATGCAAGTTGAGAAATATGCGTTGCAAACAGGAAGAATTGTTAGCAATAATCACGGAGGATGACGTGAGATCCACGTTTAGAACTACATAGGGCTGGTTACATCAATGTCAGCTAACGATAACAATGTTTCTCATAATGTCTCTACTAATGTCGGATTTCCGTTACACATACCAGCTGAAACAGCCGCAGCAGTATATTTAATATTACGTTTATTAAATGAAACCGTAAGAAAAATCAACGAAATGAAGCATCTCATAAATATTAATTTCGAGACATTTTATTTACATGAATGTTCGTTTACTTAGACTTTAAAAAGGAAGACTCTTACATATGTTGCGAGCACGTGTCATAGAAAAGATTTTTATTTAAAATTTGTTTACACGAATGTTGTATGAAAATTGAATATAAAAGAAGAGAAGTTCAATTAAAACATAAGAGAAATTTTATATTCAAATGCATATTAAAACGACATGCTTATGACGCATGTCTTTGTACACCGATATTAGAATTTTCATGTACGATAAGCGCAAAAGTGACAGCACTCGTGAAGTTTAATGTAATTTCACGCTAGATTAATGCGTTAACGTCATGAATATGGAAGAAGAATCTAATCCGAAAACTGATGATTTGAATGAAACTGTGATGTTATTCACGTAACAGATTTGTAAACAAACGCGGCTTTTGCGATCTACACGTCATGCACACGTGGATGTCCATTTTCCCCCTCCATATTTACGCGAGAGCGTGATGATCAAGAGCGACGCAGCAATAACACGCAAATCGGATTTTCTCATTCAGGTGTGTGTTTTGCGATCTATTTATATACTTACTCGCTAAATTAGACGAGAGTAGAGATCTCCCGGAGAAGCTTTTCTCGTTTCCTTCCCACTTCCTGATCACGCCAGGAGATTATTTCCAACAGAGACAGCGTGTCCTTGGATGAGGATGCTGATAGGTCGACGATAATGAACGAGATTAGCCGAGATCCCTTTTTTCCTCGCGATCGAAAGCGCGACGCGTCGACGGGGATGCGACTTGATCGAGATGCGCATTGATCGTCGTCTTAGGGTTGTTTGAAGCGAGAGTTTTCGCGGCATCGTCCCCTACGCACGCATGATCACTGGCTCTCGGTTGCCTTGACTACCCTCGGCGAAACGCTTTTTCGCTCGGCTTCGAAAATATAAGGTCGATAGGGATGGAACTCGACGATCGACCGTCACCACCTGTGTCGCTCGGTCGACTGACTAGCTTGGACTGACTGGACCTCCCCGTATACTCAGTGATTTTATTCCATCCCCACCAGCATCTAACCCTCCCTCTTGTGCTCACGAACCTCACTCGTAACACCCACTCGCTATCCGGAGTCGACGTGGGTGCTCAGGCTCAGGGTGCGTAAAACGTCGAGGGTGAAGGCAAGCCGTCGTCATTGACCACGTAATTGATAGTTGACCGTATCATCTAAAGATCAATTAAAGGTCTATTCTTCGTGACAAAAATAATTGTGGAAAACAGCATAGTTAGCTTTAATGTTATTAACATGTTATTAATATATATAGCGGAGATCCTGTCACCTGGAAAATTGCAAGTTTTTTTTTAAGTATAATCATTTTACGGTAGAATAATTTTGTTTTCGATTTTATGATCGAATTATAATTCTAGAGATTGGGTAAAATTGAGTTATTCGCGCGTGCGAGTGCGCATTTAATCAAATTTATTTCAACTGAAACTATTGCATGTTCATATACATTTACCCGATTCTTGCTTTTTTAAAACAAATTTAAATTTTAGTGGTAAACAGATAGAAAAATATATGCACTTTTGCGAATACTATGTTTATGTAGCGAAACGTTTTCCTCTCGAGAGATTTAAACCGCTCAATTACTTATACCGACTCTTTTATGTAATTAATGACTGTGCCTAATTTAAGTATTTGAAGTACTTAAAGACATTCTTATTATCTAAAGAGAAATGAGAGAAACTTTCGTTTCAAAACTTTGTTCAAGGTTAAGGGTTTCGTAATGTGTAAGCCCTTGGGCTTGGAAAATCTTATCTCTTTATCTCGAAAACTATCAAATATTCTTGTCACCTAGTCAAACTCTTGAATCTTCCAGAAATTTAATAACCGTATTATCAAATATATAGGTATATATTTTTAGCTTTTATTTTATATAGTTTTAGTAATTGTATTTATATATATTTTTTTTTATATTTATATATGTATAATAAAATTATTTTAATAATTTGTTTTTATGTGATATTCAACGAATAATTATCTAAATTATCTTTCTACAAAGTTATATATGAAAGTTAATATACAAAATTATTTTATAAAGTTAATATATATGCTATATACAAATTTATAATTCGTAATGTAATATATAGCTAAATATGTTTTAATTGATTTAAAAATTTATTATATCGAAATTCTGAAAACAAAGTTAACTTTACAGAGAATATAAAATCAACTATTCTATGCCAATCCGCGAACAAACTCACGTTCTTCAAGTTTAAGGTCGGAATAGCGACGTATTTACGTCACCAACATCGATTCGCGGACGTTGATCCACGTCTAATTCTAAACGTTTGGATGTCCTTTTTGTGAATTAACGATCGTTAATTCGTTTACTGTAGGCTTCTCGTAAATTAATCAAAAAATCTAACATACTTTGCTTAAAATCTATCGAATAATTATAATAAATACTGAAGAAAGTTATCCTTAATGTTCTTCCACTGATTGTCTCTGATTGTCTTCTCTCCTAATATCGAACTTTCGATAATAATTTATTGACTAGAGAGTGTTTTTTATAATCTACGTCTTATGTTACGCATTCCAGTATTTTTAGATACGATCTATCAATCTCCATTTCGTGTTCAAAATAACGATGGAGATTAGTAACACATACACTTGTTCAATTGCGTTGCACGGATTTTCTGTCGCGACATTCTCTCTTTTCCTCTTTCTCTGTTATTGCTAATTAAAAAGTTTCGCGAGCTGCACTAACGATTCGTCGTGTTTCAGTTACGCTCAGCTTGAAAAAGTTTCGTTTGTGCACGATGTTGGCAGCTACACGTTCTCAGTTTTTTGTAATAGTTCGTAACAGTAATTACCAATGAAATAGTCGTATTTTAATATGATATTTCCATTTATTCGATACAATAACATTATTGAAACTGTTGGAAAATTTCCAACCGTTGAAACAATCGATTCAATTCAATAAAGCTAATCTTCCTCACTTTGTGTTATAACAAGCTATATCTTTTATGCGCATACATTTGTATATATATAATTATGTATAATTGTTAATATTATTTTTTTTTCTTTAATTATATTCACTGTCACTCTCGCGTTTAGTCGCAAATTACAAACTGAAGAGATATGTGACGTTGATGCATTGTCATTGTCGTCAATCGCTCAAGTCTGCTATGTTATTAATGATGATCAAGAACTTCCGACAACGTTTATTGACAATGAAATGTAAATGACTATGTAGACGAGAAAAACTTTAAATGAACGATAATTGTTGTAAGAGGACTATATGTAGACTATAGTTAACATTGACTTATATAGAGAGCTTAGGAAGATCCTTCAAGTGTATACATTATAAATTATATTTTAAAAGCATCCTCTACATCCAATTATTATGCTACACAAATTTACGTAAGAATGTAATAAATATTATCGCGTAATAAATTCTAAAACATAACAACGTAAATGCAAGGATATAAAACGCGCAATTAATGTTAATTAATATAATATTATGAAACTGTACGCGCGCTATTTCAAAATAATTAGTTTTCAAATGCATTAGATTAATCAAGTCGTCGTCAATATATTATATTACTCGGAATATTGTACTTGAGTACGAGAGAGGGTTACATAATTTATATAGTATAGTAGTAACAAGTTAATAAAATCGTGACACTACAAACTGTTGACATGCAGAATTAATCTATAAACAACACACGGTTTGTTCCAAACTGCGTCGTCATACTCTCATCGATCATTGCGTATACATGTGATGTAGCTTATAACTCGAGTCTGCATGGGCGCATTATTGCCTATTTATCAAAAGTTTACTCTTCCATAGAAATGAATTAAACAGATTCAATCTTAGCTCAAAATGACTAGTACGTACCATCATTAACGGGATAAAATAGATCGAATTTTTCATTTTATTTCAATTTATTTAAAATCAAATTTCTCTTCTGTTATTTATTCTCCATTTTTATTTATATGCTCGCGTAGAACAAGATTTTTAAAAATGTTAATAATTCTAAAATTGCAAATTAAAACTTGGAATTATATTATAACTGAAAGAAAGATATGCCGAAAATTTAATATAAAATTTCCTTAAATAAAAAAAAAAAAATAAAAAATAAAAATTTTATTTCAAAATAAAAAAAATTTTTAATAAAATCTACATGCATATTGCAGTTCTGAAAAATCGGTTTAGTTTACAGAAAGTAAAATGATTCTTTTGTTAATACGAAATTCTGATTCGTATATACATACATATACGGCGCGCATCTCGTATTTGCGACAGCAACACCGGAGATAACAACCACACCCACAAATCAGTCATCAGTTTTTAATAAACCTCGCCTACGGAAACGTCGGCACGCGATCGCTCGAGTAACAGGCGATATTTCAGTCCGGTCGTATTACGGTTAGCAGAATTGCGTCGAGACACGAAGAGTACACCCGATCGCGTCGGAGGCCATCGACTGCGGGCATCTACTGCGAGATCGGATCTCAATTCGGAGCAGAAATGAAATTCTTCACGGCCGAGTCTTCGCTTTTCGAGCGTCACTCGCAATTCAGCAAAGATCCGGACTCGATCGTGGTCGCCGCTCTTTGAATTTGCGAGATACCGGGTATTTTATGCATTTCCAATAACGCGTCGTGACCTCCTCGTTGTGCATTGTCACGCATTATATATATATATATATATATATATATATATATATATGGCTAATAATTCATTTTTCGCTTTCTCTCTTTTTCTCATCGAGATAAGTTTCCGGTAAATCAAGAATCATTTATTAAAAATCCGAGATGCTAGCCGTCGAGATATATCGTTGGAAAAATTGCACGAAAAATGCGATTATGTCGCTGAGTCATTACAAAGAAATAGAAATTAATTTTGATCCCACGATACTCTATTGTTTTTGTTTGTTCTCATCATTATTTGTAAAACTTATTGCGTGTATTTTATTGCATGAAGTTTGACAAACATAAAATAACACGTGAAATGTGTATAACAAATATATACCTATAAGAAATAATATAAATATGCAAAAGAATTACATTAAATTTAAGTTTATATAATTTATCTAATATTAATTCATGAATTTGCACTTCAAACTTGGTCAAATTATTTATGATAATTTACAATGAAAAAGCTACTGATATTGGACGATTTTCACTTTTATACATTGTGGTCTTTTTTATCTTAGTCATTTCATAATGATTTGACAAAATTCCCAGGACAGATTCTTTAGTCAAAATGATGTCAAAATTATGCACAAAGTCATATTTCACGTAGCGCGGTCTTCTTCGTTCATAGACGTTTTCATAAACGATATTCCAGTTCGCGTCCTATTTTCGTCTGTAAGCAGTCGGATAATCCGTCAAGAGGCTGCCAGTGGAGACTATGGCTCCAGGTCCTCCAAGAATGCCACCCTTGTTGGCGAACCAGCCGTTACCGCCTAAGAAACCGGCTGGTTCTAACCGATTTGTGTAGAAACCGGAGTCATTTGGTCCTAGAAAGTGCACCAGACCGCCGGGATTAAGTAATTGCCTCGCTGTCGCGTTTGGTAACACGTTGATGCCCAGGTTGTTTAACGTTTCTCTCAATAATGTTAGGCGATCTTGTAGAAACGATTGTGGTGAGAACTGGAGCTTTTGCGTCAATGGTGTTAAGAACCAAGAGAACGGGCCCGGTTTTACATAAGATACAGTCGTCGATACCTTGTCGGACATGTCGAGAAAATCGATTACGTTTTACATCGAATATTTTGATGGACTTTTATGATGTTTTATTATAGAAAAATAGGAGAGAAAAATTTAAGACGTTCGAATTTTTTTATTTCAACAATTAATATCGTGGATGCACTTGCAAAACAGAAATTTCCACAGAGAATATAATTGTGAATCTGAGCATTAAAAAACTGATATAACATCAAAATTTGACAATTATTGTTATCTTTTTAATGTGTATTTTAATTAAACATACTAACTCTATATAATCTATAATTATATAATCTTTTTTAAATATAATATATATTTGAGTGCAAGTAATTGATAAACGACAAACTGATTTTAATTAGTTAATGGACTAAATTAATAATGCAGCAAAGAGAATTTGTATATACGAAATTACTGAAACGCACTATGACAGTTCGACATATTTAAATTATAATTAACGGAATTGAATCATAAACCATCACTATCGCAAAAAGGTTTTGATCTCGATCACTTTAATTACAAATTTTAATCAACAGAAGTGACACTTACAGGTCGTATGGTCGTGTCGATCACGATATCAGCTGTTGAGTTTGTTGTATCAATTTGCGTGGTAGCTGTTATTGATGTCTCGTTAGTCGATAAAGTAGAATTTTCTGCCAATTGCCTCGATTCGAGCTGATTCTTTTGCAAACTCGTGTTATGATCGATTTCATTAATAGATTCGTCGATTGGCGAATATGGTGGTTTCGCCTGTGTTATTGCAACCTTCCCATAAATTTTCATTTATTTTCATTATCATGTGAATTTTTTAAAGAATCAGTTAAATAATAGTATTTAATCATTACTTATCAATCAATATTATTAATATTATCGAACACATATCAACATTATTTCGTAATAATATTTATATGTGTATAATTAGTACAATTTTTTATATTGATTTCTATATTATTTTTTTGTCATTTTTTTTTATCTTAATAGAAATACTTATTTATAGAACTTACTATATTATTATTATGTAATATTATGTAATAATGTTTATGTGTTTAGTAATAATGAGTTCTATAAATAAATATTTCTATTGAGATAAAAAATTTGACAAAAAAATAATATAGAAATCAATATAAAAAATTGTATAAATTATATTAACATGCATATTAAAAAACATATCACTATATTAAATAAATTTAAGAAATGTATAATTATAATAATATATAAATGAAAAACAGAAGATGTAAATATAATTTACATACATATAAATATTACGAATTTAGAGTTATATTTTTGCATAATTAGCAAATAAATTGCTAATTCTGACACTGACAAACAGAGGTCTAGCTTGTGCAAGATTTATTACTAAATTAAGTTCAAATTACTAAGGTTTATGAGTTTTAAACATCTTACCGCTATAAGTAACAACCACATAAACGTAGGCACTTTTGCCATTATTGGAAGGAATCGTATAATGAAGAAACTCTGATAATGTTCTGCGTAACTTATTCTTGCGACGTAAAATACGCACTGGTTAGGACTAAAGCAATATCGTGCTTAACTCTGTCTATATATGCCATTTTATGTGTAATAAGTAGAACGTAATCGTATAAGGGCGCCCACATGAATATTATGACGGTAGATATATAGTTGCAATCACACTAAATACAGCTTGCTAAAACAAACTGTGAGGAAAAATACTGTTAAATGTGATATAATTTTAATGTTATAAAGACGAATATTTAATAGGTAAAATATCTCTTGAACATTTATTAAAACAAATATTTTATATATATTATTGTGATACAATATATTATTGAGAAAGAAAAAATATGAGAAGAAAATTGTCTCAATACTTTTTAATATTAATAGTATCGTGATAAAAATATTGTGATAAAGATAATTTAATATAATATATTCAAAGAAAAATATTGTTTATTTCATGTTTCATGAAATTAAGAAATCTTTCTGTTGTTTTCACAAATGGAACTAGTGAATATTAACACTGTTTGTTTGTTTGTTTTATGTTAAACTTGCAAAGAATGTTAATATTCATTTTGCATAAAAGGAAAATACTGAGATGATTGAAGATGCACTCAGTAACGAATTATTTGAATAATGATTATATTTTATTTTATTGCATAAACCTTTTAACGATAATTAAAAGGAAATATTGTTATTAAATGAATGTGAAGTTGGCGTATTATTTTGTGTAAAATAAATAATTAAAAGTTCTGGCTTTATTTTTACTAAGTCAAAAGATATTTTAAACAAATAGATAAAACTGATTGTTAAATTAAATAATATGACTCAGGATAAAATAAGACACCAAGCTTACGCAGCGTCTCTTTTTGTTCTGCAATATTCTCTTCATTATTTTGCGTCAAATTTTAAAAATTTATAGTTTTATTTTGACGTAAAAATATTTTGCCACAGAATTATTTGTTTATATTACGAAATATTGAAAATAAAATTAGAATTTGTAATTATTTTCTACGAAATAATGCGTCAATTTTATTCACTTAATGAGCTTCATACAGTAAACATTTTTTAACGTTTTGTTTACAAATTACACGAGTTTCTGACAGATGTTCTTCCATAATTTGTTTCTTAGTTTATTATACGAAATAAAATTTTAGGACAAGAAAACATTATACTTTTACTGATTGTTCTATCTTAAATGCTAGAAAAGATGGTATATTTTTGACACGTGCCTTTTTTCAAATTTGTCTCTCTGTATGTAGTCGATTTTAATAAGCTTTTACGAATAGAAGTAAATATTACAATGGCTGCGAATATTGTAAGTCAACAATAATTTCGCAGTTGTGGAACGAACAGCACGGGAATTGCTTGAAAAACCGGTCAGATCATATATTTTTATTATTTTGAAACTATATGCCATAACCAACTCTCCTTGAAAGAGTTGTTTTTGACCGAGAAATTTTGTTCTTATTGGATCATTCTCGCGAAATCGTCGTGTGAAGGTCGGGAATTTATTTTAAATTCGTGGTTAATTTAAAACAGACACGAATACTCAGATGCAAAATAGTTTAACAACAACTTCTAAAAGAACGAGCAAAAGTTTTCAAACTTTTGGAAAGAATGTTTTGAAAATTATAATAAAAAAATGATGAAGCAGGCACAAAAAAGAGCTACTATAAATTATCTGATAAAAAGTTTGATGTGGCCTTGTTGTCGGAAAGTCTTGTGATTTTTTCACGTCGGAGTTTTAAGCTAGTTTTTATCACAGTTACTGAAAAATTGACTTTATAAAGAAAAATCAAGAATGAAGAGATACGATGAAAAACATGTTTTTGTTCAACAAAGGTGAAGTGATCGTGTTATAAACTTCAAAGTTGATTGAAACAGAAAATATAAGAGGTGATTGCAATCATGGGATTAATTGGGATAATTGAGTTAGATTGTGCATAGATAGGATACGTACATATACAGGATGCGAATACGTGTCCTATATTATTATTACGCGAATATTTGCTAAAAATCTTATTTGTTATCTTGATTTTTCTGCAGCTGCTATTGCGTTATAATATCATTAATTATTTATATACATTTTAGTTTATTAGTTATTATTCAATAAGTCAACGTCAACGTAAAATTATGTTACTCTTTTCCTCTCTCAAATTTATTTTAGAAAATTATCTAGATTTTTAATTTAAATATTTTAATAAAAATTATTAGTTATTATTAGCATTTCGACATATACGTTCAAGATTATTCGAACTGATAAATCACTCTATTAATTTGTAAAAGTAAATACAGTGTATTTTGAGATACACTATATTGTCACTCAGATCGAAATGACCCGAGTGCATAGCGGAAAATACATTGACTTTTCGTCTCGAGACGTGGATTGTATACCGATGACGACTTACAGTCGAGCCTAGACGTCACGGTGTGAGTTATTACCGATACCAATGAGTGGCGGATCACGACCTCGGCATGCTGCCAACCGGCTCGTCGCGTAATTAACAATCCTACACGCAGAGAACCATTCGTTTACGTATGCGATCGCGTAAGAATGTGGAGGTGTGCGACGTCGAGGACGACCTGGGACCGTTATGAGTCTTTTCGAGACCAGTCTCGTCCGATCGGCCGTTCGCGAACCTCGAGATTGTACGTGAAAATCGCCGATTAATGATTGTCTACAACAGACATTTTCGCAAAGAGAATTAATCAAATATTTGAGATTGTTCGCGAAAGACAATTGTTTGTCTAGAATTTGAGAGTTTTCAAGGACAACGTGACATTTTTCAATTGATTCTGTGAATTTATTTTTCTTGTAAATAAAGTTTTTATTATTAAATTAATTATAATTTATATTAAAAGCATAGCAGATTTGTGATTTTTTATATAGTGCATATTTGGAGAGGGTAATAATTATTTTGGATTAATAAAAAAATATCTCATCATGAAGATATTATGCAGTTTGATGGTGGTTTTGATTCTTCGACAAGTAAGTGATATTTATTGTTATTGTGTGCTTAGTTTATTTTAATATATTGATAATCAATATTGTCAGAGCTATTGCATTATTTGACTACATATAAAATAACGTGAAAAAAAAATCTCAATAAACAGTAATTATATACAAATATATTAGTTGAAATAAAAATTATTATAAATTTGGAAATGTCTAAAATGGTTTGTTATTTCTAAGTCGATTCGTGAGTTGAATTTTACTTGATTTTGTATTTTGCAATTTATTTTGATATTAACGTTATATTCTCACTCGATTTGCTTTTGATGTGAAATATTTCCATATATAAACACGCGTAATCGCGACTAACGGCACTAGGAGAACTACTTACTTACGTACATTCGCGTGCTTTGGTGGAAATGTTAATTAAAATTCCTCACTGCTCCAGGCCATCGCCGGAATCGTTAGGAAGCCTCCGGCATTTTCAACACCAGTATACGCGAATTCGTATCTGCCTGCCGTCATGCAGGTGAGTCATTTCTCTTAATTTTAATGAGATTCTGAACATTATGCTTTCGCGCGGGCGTTTCACGTAATAATTTAGCACAGCACTCGTAATAATTATATTTATACATAAGTATATTTTACACGTTTAATGCTTCTTTGTTAATTTATTATTACACGTATTCAACCCTTTTTACCTCCGTTTAATGGGACTCCTTTACGTTTAGAATACTAATAGAAACTTGATGAACTTTAATATCTCTGCAGCAACACTTTTTACAAAGGTAAAACCTTCTTAAACTGCATAATACGATAGCAAAAATTCTGAAAAAATTAAAATACAATTTTATAATATAAATTTTTTTCTTTAATATAATATAAAGTAGTTTTTTTAATACATCATATGGATTTGTTTGCATATTTATCTCTATTTATTTTTGCAAATTGTTATTTTCATTAAGTTTTTGAAGTACAGAAAAATATGTAAAACGAGCAGTTGTATAACTTCACTTCTAAATTAGGTGATTTTTCACACGGTTGAGCAATTGAAACAACTCCAAGCAGAGGAAACATCGCAAGAATCGTTAATATCTAAATTGCCGACATCGACTGAGTTGATAGAACATGAACAATCGCAATCGACGACACTCAAGGAGACTTCCATGACATCAACTGCTACAACCGCAAAAATACATGATGAAAAAACAAAAACTCCCGAAATGGTAGCCTCGATTTTGGTGAGTGAAACATCAAATCAAGGATCATCCGAGATTTACGATGATCTTACGGAAGCCGCTCAACACGTGGAAACTTCGATTTCAAGCAGTTTGTCTAATCATGAAGAGACACCTGAAGTAAACGAAGAGATGGCCGAAATAAACTACGAGTCACCGGCCACGCCGGAAGCGAATCACGAATTACCGGAACTCGTGCAGGAGACTCAAGAATCGAATCAGGAGGTCCCAGAGAAGAGCGAAGAATACTCAACCATTGTAAATTTCTCCAAGGACGAGACTTTGCAGTACGACAATATGTCGCAACAACAATCGACACAAATTTCCGTCACGAGAGCTATGGATAGTCAGAAGAAGAAGGAACCGACAGTTGACAGCGTTGTGGACGAAATTTATGAAATCGTAAAAACGAGCACTTCCCCGTTCAGCGAGGAACCGGATATTACCAGCGAATCGAAAAGTGCGATGGGAATTTCAATGGACAAGATAGAGACCATCGAGGACGAGGAAGACGAAACGAGGTGATCATTATTTGCATTATAATATCACTGTCAAGAAAGAATTGTTGTATCCGTTTCTGAAGAAAATTAATAGACTTCTACAGAAGTTATTTTTCACATATGACTGTTGAAAAAAATCATTTTCTACATCGTGCACATTAATATTACGTTTAAATCTTATTCTTCATTTATATCTGGTCCAAAAATTTCTAAATGTAATAAAGAATGCGTTGTATAATTTAATGTAATTGCTGCTAATAAAAAAGCTGGGGAAACACGAGAGTGAATAAGTGCTAGATCTTACAATTAGAGAAAATGTTAATAAAGAGCAATTTTAATTAGGCTTTTCTGTACCTTTGCCGTCGCAGGTTCACTCTGTTGGGCGAGAAAGTATCTCAAGTACCGCGGCCAAGTTTGAACAGCTACTTAAAGCGCGTCAAAGTGCCAGTCAGGCCGGCTCTTCAGCAACTGGCGAATCTTTACGACTCCCTCAGTAAGGACGCGCGGAAGCAAGGATTCGCCCGTTTTGCCGGTTACTCGGACGAAATTCTGAAGAGCCTCCATTCATCAGCCGAGGGTGGCGTCGGACCGCAGTTGAAACAGCTGCTAGAAAAAGTAGTAGAGCGGAACGAGCTCACCAGGGATGACGCAAAGATAAAGACATCGCAAGCGCTGAACGACCTCGACAATCCTGCCAGCGCGCTCAACAAGGATTTGAGACGTCTATTACCTTTACGTTTTACGCCGTGATTTGACAGAAGGAATTTTTATCATCTTTGAGAAACGAATATTCAAACAAATCTCTTGCAATTTTATTTATTTGGTTAAACAAATGTTTTATTCTTTATATTCTTACGGATTATTTTTAAAAATGATAATGATGCTCTCTTTCAACTTTGGAAACTTTTTTTCAGCAATTTAAAAGATATGGAAATGCATATCTTATATGTCTTATGAAGAGTTATTTTTATAAACACTATATATACCTACATATATTTATACTGAATATTTTTGAAATATTATTTTTAATGAAAATACAAGATTTATTGATCGAAATGCTTATTTGCATCTTTTTAGCACGAATGCGTGAAATCACTTTATATAATTCCTGTATTTTTTAATTGACGAAATCTTTTATATATAGGCTTTTATATCTAGGGGAAATCGACAGATCAATGAAGATCTCTGTCAACATTATATTTGATATATTATACAATACATATAACAACGAAAGAAATTTAATATTTATCAATTCATTGTAAATCAATTTGTTGTGAATCAATTAAAATAAATAATGTGTACGTTTTTAATCAATTTATATATTTATGTATGTATTTAACTATAGTATAAATTACATGCAAATTATTGTTATGTATATTTGATATATTATACAATACATATAACAACGAAAGAAATTTAATATTTATCAATTCATTGTAAATCAATTTGTTGTGAATCAATTAAAGTAAATAATGTGTACGTTTTTAATCAATTTATATATTTATGTATGTATTTAACTGTAGTATAAATTACATGCAAATTATTGTTATGATACATTCTTGCATATTTAATATTTTTATTCTATTACAGTTATTGATAATTCTTGCTTATTATATCTTTTCAAAATATATAAATGTATTTTTATCTGCGTGTACTTAAATAAAAAAATCGATCTGTGTATGATGCAATTCCCTTTCTGTATATTTTCGTATTTGATGGTGGTATTTCATTATTATACCATTTTGAAATTATTTTCATTGCTATATCGATAGTATCACCTGAGGAAGAAAAGTAAAATTTATTCATCAATGTCTCTTATAAGAAAATTCTAAAAATATTTATTATTTTATCTCTAATTTTTATAAGCATTTATTAAGGATATATATATATTATTAAAATTTTATTTATAATTTATATATATATATATATATATATATATATCATTACAAATAAAATTTTGAAATAAAAAAAACTTGATATATATAACATTTTGATAGCAGTTACAGAGAAATCGAAATTAATTTAGATTTAAAGAAATTATAGTAAAAATTAAAAGGTATTATAGTAAGAAGATGAAAATAATTATTAGTAAAATAGAAGTAATTAATGCCATGTTTGCGAAAAATCGTTAGAGTTTTAAGTACCTTTTGGCGCTACTGGATAAAGCTTTGTGGAAAAAGTGAATGGTTGTTCGACTTCGTGAAATATCCTATTATTCATCTCAGTTATGTTGAGCTTTGTTCTTTGGACTAGCGAGTTCTCGAGGCCATTTAGGAAGAGCTCCCATCTGGGCTTGAAATAATCTGCTATCACTCCCGACCATTGTTTATTTGCATAGTCTCTGATCTCGCCGTTTGGACCCCACAGAGTGATCTGATTTCTCGCATTATATTCGTAGGATCGCCTTTCCTCCTCATTGACAGCCATATCTTTCGCTCGAGATAACCAAGTACCCAGTAGAAAATTATTTCCCGACGCTAAAATGGACTCGACATCATCGAAAAGTTCCAACAAAGCACTTGCAGATGACCTATAAAGTATTAATATAAATAAAATTTTCAAATATAAATTATTATAAGGAGGTGTTGTTAAATAATAATAATTATGCATTATGTTAGACTTCATCTTGTTTTATTTCAAATTTTTTTTCCTATCTTCGATCTTATAGATTCTTATTTTGCTTATTATTAGTGTGAGAAAGATAAAAATTTTAAAAATAGAAAATAATTATGCATAATTTATATTTACTACATGCAAAATATATACTTACTGAAAGGCAGTGATATTCTTTTCTTTATACGAATCTAATACAACTTTATATAAATCATCGGCCATTAGTTGCAGAGCTTGTCTAGTTATATCAACTACATCATGTCTGTAGAGAGTATTGTTTCCTCTACCATATCTCGCTTTTAAGAATACATTCCACATAGAATAGAAAGCTTTTTGATCATACCAGATCTATATAAAACAAATTATTTTATGTCATAATTTACGATTTTAATAATGTAATTATAATATACTTAATGCATATTTTTAACTTTATATTCATATCTAATTTTATTTTCTATTTACTGGCATGTTTCATTATGTTCATATTTATATATCAAGCTTTTCCTTCATTTAACTTGCCAAGTAAATATGATTAAAAGTTCTCTATCACGTGCATCAATTTTTAATATATGTGTCTATACCCATGATGAAATATTTAAACTTGGCCGTTTGGTAATGACGTAATGTCCCCTGATTCTTTGCTCGCCGCTAAAATTATAAACTGTCCTGCCAAGGTATTGCCAAGTAGCCACTGCGTATTCGTTCCATGCGCCATATCTTCGGGTGGCATAGTTTTGGAACCTGTAGATCAATTTAATCGTCGTATTAATTAAATTATTATTTAGATAAATTTTATTTTAAAAATGAGCTCTGTAATCTCTCTGCACAAGTCACCATGTTAACAGATTATTGATACTTTTTCGATGAAAATCTGTCGTTGCACATCGGTACGTACGTAAGAATTACATGAGGCACACATTCTCACCAAACATCAAGGTCGACCGGCTCATGACGATACGCCATCTCATTCATCAACTCGTAAATCACGTAGTTCTGGTTGATGCCCTCGGGTGTCAGACCGGTTCCCACCATCGTACTGCCATTCATATTCCTACCCTCGAACGTGCGCTGAAGAAAGAATAGATTAGTTATCTTGCAACTTATGTTCTATCTCGTTATCTTAACATTTTGTGACAGTTTTCGAATTCTTCAGAATCTCATTCTCTTCGTTAGTGAAGAATTTATGAAGAAACGTGATAAAGTATCTTAGGTGAAAGATTAAAAATCGATCAGAGATTTACACGTGTTCACAATTATTACATATTTAAGTAATATATTTTTTTATGCATAAGAAATTATTTATTTTCTATATATAAAACGTATGTACGGGATAATTAAAAATCACAACTTAAAAATTGTTATATTAAAATTTGGAAACAATTTATTTATTATTATACTCACAAACTTTTTGGAAAAATTAATATATTTGATGAAAATCATAGAAAAAGATCAATATTATTACTAAGAAAATATATTGACCAAGTTACAATCGTCTCGTACTGACAATGCAATATCATGACATCTTACAGATACAGCAAAAAAATCTTTTTAACGAAGAGAAGAGCGACTTGAGGAAGTTATAGATTTTCTACATACTTGATTAATAATTTCTGCGGATCCGAACATTCCCAAGGTGCCACCAAAGTTGTGAAGCATGCACCAGATAAATGGTTGACCATAATATGATTTCAATCGACCATATTGTGGGAATTGTTCCGATTGCAAATCTAATAACAACATTCGTCCCTGCGTGTGTGTGATTAATTTTAATATAGCATTTTTGATTTTAATATTTAGATATAGCATTTTGAAAATGATTTACTTTTTCTATTTTGAATATGTACTTAACAAACATTATGTATTAAAAATTGATTATATTATTATAGAAATATTTTGTGAATTTGCGAAGAAAAAATTACAAAATGTTTCTATTTTGCAGAAATTATTTGATTATGCATCATAACTGTTAACGTGTTCGCTTATCAACAAAGTATGATATTTTTCCTATTAATAATCCAAACTTACCGTGGGTACTGAGGTTAAAAAGGCTTTCGCTCTAGGTTCTGTCCAGAATGTGAAGTCGTGTACGAACAGCCAAGCTTGCATCAACCTTGAAAAATTGCATATAATATATTTTATATAGAAATATTATTATGCACATTTAAATATACTCTGATTTCGAAAGCAATCCTAAATAGCAATGTATTGTATATTGAACTATTTCTCTTGAATTAACTTTCATTAATTTACTTACCATATCGCTTTAGAATCAACCGCGTTCATAGCCGAGAAAATTGCTTGGCCGACGTTTCTCAAATAGATAAGTTCAGTGCTACCGGGTTCGTTCTCGTTAAAAGTGTCGCAATTATAAATGTGATCGGTACCGAATTCGTCGATATACTACAGCAGTGAAATATTCATAACTCCCTGTCTTGTTAGTCGCCTTAATCTCTATTGGAATTATTTTCTGATTATACTAATGGTATAACTTACCATTCGTAAGAACTTTTCTCCAATTATACGAAATAGCGGATCTGTCGGTTCTAACAAATAAGGACTGAAAGCAAAAGTTTATTTCTACTCACTTAATTTTATGATCTATGATTAAATACGATTTTATTTTGAATATATCTCTGCGATAAATATGCAAGAATTTAAGTGTGTATCTGAAATATGTCTTGCGTTTATTATCGACAAATCACTTTTAAGATATTATTGGAGGTGAAAAAGATAAGATGAGATATACGAGATACATATGTATAAAAAGAAAATAAATCGATAAATAGATAAGATAAATAAGAATAGATAAGATAAATAGATGTCTAAATATATATGTATAACTAGGTTTAATCATACCAACAATATTTGTCTTCGAACTTGTTCCAAGGATCGATCTTCGTCATATTAGCATTTGGAAAAAGTCGGGTGAAAGCTCGTGGTACATGACCTGCGAAGGCTGGTAATACTGGAACGATTCCGAGATCCCTCATTCTTCGAAGAATTTGATGTTGTAGTTGTATGGTCTGATTATGCCAATTCGTTGATAACGGTCCGCCAAAACCACGAATATTGCCCATCCTTGCCCTGAAGTATCACAATAAATATATTCTACATATATATACATATGTATATTAATATAAAAGATTTCTCTGTATAAAACATTTAAGAAATTAAGAATAAATACTCTGATCACCGTACCAGGGTAAGAAAGCAGGACCTCCTAAGTGCTCATCGATTTCTTCCTGCGTGAGATTAATTCTCGATACAGTCTTTGCCAGATAGCTTCTTGCGCGGTAAAAGCGAGGGCAAGATTGATCCCATTAAGAGCCATCCAGTCAATATTTTTTTCCCATTGCTCCCACTGCCACCAGGTCGAGCTATAACCTACAGTGCACACATTCTGATAATATCTGAATCTGAAAAATTAAAAAATACTGTAATATACACTGCCGTAAAATCGGATTTTAAATCAGATATCACGAACAAAGTTTTACACGTCATATCACCTGTCATTAGATGTAATTTTAACTCGAACTTCTGGTAATGTTTTAGGCAGAGTAATCTGTGCACCCTCCCATGATATATGAACATTACAATAGGTTTTCAAATAATAATGTAAACCCCACGTAATCGCCACTCCGGAAGTACCACGAATTTCGATTTCACCCAGAGGATTTTTATTATCTGTGCAAAAAGGTCAATCGATATCGAGTTATTTCTCTGTGTGAACAAGCATTTACATTATAAACGAGCACATAATTTTATTCGAAAGTAAAAAGGTTTCACCTTGAAAGTATCTTTGCCAACGGGACCCAAATCGGTATCTAGTATCATAATAAATAATTTAGATATCTCCTTGCCCAGCAATCTTTCCGCGACATCTTGCGCTGCTTTCGTTTGAATTTCCGGCGAGGTTCGTGATCTTATATGGCCCAAAGTAACCTGAAACGCTATTTATACTTTCAACTATGAGATTCGTGATTTTGCGAAAAGAGTATGCAAATTATTACGAACGGATGAGAAACGCTAAGCGCGTTGATTGACAAAAATTGATAATATAATCTACATTTCAGATAGGTTTATATATTGCATTTTAGAAAAAAGAAATAAATACACATTTAATCAATTTTACTTACCGTCTAACTTCTGACATTGACTAGACCATACGAATAGTCCAAATATTACAATAGATAAGTGTAACCACGATGCTAGAGCACCCATCCTGATAAACTTCGGCATGTCGACTGACATGCATGAAAGTAGGGAGTCAGAAAAAGCATACGTTGGAGCGCATATTAACATCCCTACTCTCACTTCGGACTTCTTATCTGATCAAGATAATAAACCATCATAACAACCGCTCTCGACGATACGATTGCATTCATGAAACGGTCGTATTAGTATTAATAAACACCCTCGCTCATTCAAAATTCATCATTGAGTCATTTATGAAATGTATGATTCGCGTAATCGAGTTTTTATATATATATATATATATATATATATATATAATTAATATAATTAATAATAATAATAATTATATAAATCAAGGATTATATTGTAAAATAACATAATATTGTAAATAAGATAATATTATAAAATAACATAATAATTAATAAAGAAAAATAATTTTTATCATGATTTAATATAGTATGTAGATTATCATTGTTATAAAATTTTATAAAATTTTAATTTTATAATACTTGTGTGCAAAATATACATATAATGCTTAACAAAGACAAGAAAAATTGTAAAGATTCTCTCGTTTGTTAATGTGTTAAAAAATCAAATTTTAATTTTATAGATACAAACACTGAAACAAATAAAACTGAAATTATATCTACATACATTATAAAGATTAAATAGATATTAAATAAATAGAAAATAGATAAATAGATAATAAGTAGATAAACAGTTTTGTACTACATTCAAAAAATTTTGCAAAATGATCTGATCTTTCTACTTATGCTGATGATTAAATTGTAATTTTATAAATTTTTTGTCATTAAATAAATGCAATATTACAATTCTATTTTTATGAATTATTTTTATTAAGCGACATAGTTAAATAATCAATATGAGATATACAATTATCGATAAAATATTTGAAAACAAAAGATTAGATTTATTTACAAAATTTATTCAGTATAGTGATCGAAATGCATATCTAAAACAGAAATATACATAATTTATTGTATAATTGTTACAAGATAATTATTTGTTTTAAAAAATACATTTCAACACAATTTAACACTACAGATATAACTATTCTCTATAATAACTTTTTGTAAATTAATTGCTGCCAATTTAACGACAGATAGTGCCTTACAATATGAGATTGATTTATTATTATTTTTTTAAGGATATGTGGATTAGTTGTCCTCTTGATTGATAGTACGTAAAAATTGTAAATTTTTGTGTGTGGAAAATAGCTGGCTTAAAGCAGGAAGATAGTAATCAGGATAGGTATCGATCTCTTTTTGTGCTTTTTCTAGAGAATCACCTCCAGTGCCAACTAAAAGTTTCTTAAATCCACATATAGAGGCAAATCTCATATCCTGATTAATCCTAAGTTTATATGTACAAATTAATAAAGCATTTTTTATCGCAAGATAGATGTAAATAATGGTATAGATATAATACATATATACAAAACTAGATATATACATATAATTTAACATTTAATTTGAATAGCATGAATTTTTTTATAAACATTAAAAAGAAAAAAGTAGAATAAATTAAAGAATTTTATCATCATGATTCACTCACGTATCGCCAATGAATAAACATTTTTGTGGTTCGGTCAAGTTGTAAGTATCGAAAATATAGTCTTTCAAAATTTTGCCGGGTTTGCCACATACAATTGGCTTTCTTCCGCTTTGTTCGCTGACAAGGCGTATGAGCGGTCCAGAACCTGATGATAAGAAAGAAAAACAAGAGTTATAAGTAAATATTTTTTGATGCCAAATATATGTACGTGTGAATATTCTATTTGTACGTAATATAAATTTTTATACATAATTATTATTTTTTTTATAAATATTTATGTCAAGAAGTAATTGTTTTTTTATGGAATGTGCTTATTAGAATGATTATGAACTTGCAATTAAAAAATAATATAAATATTTATATATTTAGAAAATGTATTTACATTATTTATAATTTTACACTATAACGCTCATCATTATAATTACCTAAGATTCTTATTTTAGAAGGTACTGCGTCTACATGTATCCATTCTTCTACTGCCCCTGCTAGAAATAATACATCTTCACGTTCAAGGCATGATACGGCCAAAGCTAATTTTGACCAGTTACACTTAGTATCGAAATCATGAATTACAGCTTTCACAGATGGTCGATCTATGACATCCTTTACAGTCGCAGTAGGATTTTTATCGTGAGTTTTTGGCTGTATAATGAAAATTGAATTTAATGTACTGTTCTAAATTTCGCGTAGATTTTTAATCAAATATAAAGAGGATTCTTTTTGGATTAGTAAAAAGTTTCTTTGCAAATTAACTTTTATGTTGATTATTTTATTTACTCACTTCCTCTGTCGTTAATCGTATTCCTGCTTTTCTTAAAATATTCCGCGATTCATCCGAACAGATGGCGAAAATTTTGTCGTGAAAATTGATCTTATTCAAGTACCAGATCATCACTTTGACGATAGTAATTATATCATCCTGTAATATTAGCGTTAGTGTCATTTTTGACATTTCCAAAAATACTGTGATTTTGATATTTTACATTATATCAATATGTGTCGTTTTATATTTTATATATGAATAATCACTTTTTTACAATACAATAGTCGATATATTTTTAAAATGTCAATGATATACATTTTAATGGCTATTACTGACAAGTAACACTACCCAAGTGCCACTCGCCGATTTTGATATACTTAGAATATGTTGTAGTCTAGGTCAAAATAAGAGACACGTATTTTTTTATACGTGCCCATACGGCCGTTAAAGTGGTGAAAACACTCTTAAGAAAAATAGGTTTTTATCTTTCTCTGAGCAAATATCGTCAAAACAGTAGGAGATATAAAAAAAATTTTCAAACAAAATTTTTATGGTTTCTAATGTACTTTAAAAACCGTGCAATCAAATTTTTCGAAAATTTTATATTTTTCGAAATCCTCTTCCCCCTTCTCAATTTTTGAAAATTATAAATTTTATTTATGGTATAACTTATAGTATATTTAACAACAAATTCAACCATATATGATAAAGTTGTATTCCGAAGTCGCAGTATTCAGAAATACGTTTGAAGTAGCTCTGTATACCGCTATACACGCGCTCTGTCTTATCATAAATGGTTGAATTTTGTTGTTAAATATACTATAAGTTATACCATAAACAAAATTTATTAATTTTCAAAACGATATAAAGGCTAATTATATGTAAGAATAATTTTTACGAGTTAATTTTGATCTATATTTTTAATTTTAATGGTTAAGTGAGTCAAAGACTATCATTTTAAATAAAGAAGTAATAAGAGAAAGATTCGTTGAGAGCTATTATATAAATTCTACTATTACATAAATTCTATATATATTATCGCATAAACCGATCGGTTAAAAGGCGAGAAAATAAATATTGCATATTTACTGGATTCAAATGCAAACCAGCACATTGAGCTCTTTCAATATAAGTTTCATCCGAATTTTCGGTATTATTCGTCACTAAATATATCTTTTTTCCCAATTTTTGCAATGACGCTAAAGATTCAAAAGCGCCCTCGATAGGATGACCAATTTGCCATACGACTCCTGAGAAATACATATTATTAATCGCAATTTTCTGTGCAGAAAAATTTTGTAACAATATTTTTTTTTTAATTATATATCATTAATTATTTTTCTAGCTACAGCATAATATTAATAATTATGCCATTGCATTTAAGAAAGTATAATTTTCAAATATTCAAAGAAATGTCTAACTAAAATCTTATATTTATCTCGTATTTATTGCCTGTCTTGATTGGCATTATGCGTTATATGCATTAGTTTCGAGCTGTTATCACGAGATAATAGTTTGATAGTTTAAAAATAAAATTATATTCTCTGTATGTATAATGTATAATTAATTATTACGTTTCATAATTGCTGGCAATTTTATGTTGAAAATTATACTTCTCATTTTTAATGCTATATGTAGATTTTTTTCATAGATATATGTACACATTTTTTTTTTTTAAATCAACGAGTCTGTTAAACAGCTATATATAAAACATTAAAAAATCACGCATGATGCAAGCAATAAAAAAATACGTTTTCATAATATGAGATTATTAAATGTGTTATGAATGTTGTGTTGGTAAAAATTAATAATTATTAAAGTTATAACTTTACTTTTCTATTTTGTTTATAATAAGAGCAGACACATGAAAATTAATACGTTTAGCTTTATTTTTTGTAAAGTTGTTTCAAGTTATTTATAAACATATTAATCAATTGTAAATTATATTAGAAATTAAGCGCGCGCTTGTGTTGTATAATATTATTAAAAAAGCAGACATTTCGGATATTTATGTTAAGTGAAACATTTAAAATTATTAATTTGAGAGAATTATTTTAAAAAATATGTAATATACTCTTGTAAAATATATAATTTTTCTTAATTATAATCTTTTTGCGAATACATATAACCATATGTAATTATATTCTGTTAAAATGCATTCTGTTAAAATTCAATATCATTTTATAAGAAAATTTATGATTTTTGAAATATATCATGTAAATATGATCACACACATAAATAGATTTTGTCTTATTTCAATGATTAATCTAAATATTGCTTATACTGAGCATATCTCATGCTAAGATGTGTTGAATATAAACTATGGAAAACTTTTACTCACCATCAATGTCGGATAAAACTGTGTCGAAAGATGATAAAAACTCCTGTAATTTTTCTGCCGAAAGTGTAGAAAGATCTTCAGTTTTTGGCATAGTGAGATATTTATTCTTAAACACGTTGGTGAAATATCTATATTTTTAATACTGATGTTATTTCCTCTTTGAAGTTTGTCCGATTCTAGTTTTATTAGTGAATCTTATTCTGCGCGCGATGCGAGACTTTCTGAATCGGTCGAGCTTGTGGAAGTTGCTTTTAAAGACTAGTGATCCATTGCATTATCTAAATTATTCAAAATGATAATAAAAAATGGCATAAATATAAAGCTGATTGAGCTGATTCAACTTTTGTTATTATTGTAGACGTCTAAACATAATATTTATATGTAATATTTTGCGTTATTTATATTTATATTTATCTACATAATGTGATGTCATGTCGTGGCAGAATATTTTGAACATGAACTATAAATGATTTTTTTTGTGAACCAAATCAAGGTTTTACCTATGCCAGTGCTATATGAATGCTATAGACTATAGACGATGTAAACTTTAAATTTTGGTAAATACAATTTGTCACGTGAAACGTAAACATATTAAGAAACATATTGAGAAGATATTATTAAAACGACAAAAGATGTTTTGTACATTTAAATAAGAAAGAAAACAAGACTTTTGTTAGAGATTCACTATTTTTAAAATTGATAATGTATTTGAAAAATATACAAATCCTTATTCGTAAATATTGTCACAGAAATGATTTACACTTTGAATTATTATGAAAACATAACAATTAAGAAATCTTAACGTACATTAATGGAATTTTGAAAATATATAAAATTACATAAAATATTGCATTATAATGAAAAAATATGATCGTTGCTGTTTAGGGGTAAGATAAGTCAACACACACAAATGACGATTGAACGCCTTTGTGGGTTAATAGAATTTCAATTTATTAAGTTTCTTTTTCCCTATAACGCCGTCAGTGTCTTGATTCTCATTTACAAAGGTATTATATAGCCGTAGCGATAGTAACTAATAATACATAATAATAATCGTAATTGTAATAATCGATTATCAAATATAATAATGACAATTGATAATAATAATAATAATAATAATAATAATAACGATGGTCGCGATGATGATGATGATGATAATGATGATGATGATGATGATGATGATGATGATGATGGTGGTGATGATGATGATGGTGATGGTGATGATGATGATGGTGATAATAATATTAATAATATAATAATAATAATAATAATCAGTGGCGATATACATTATGGACAATCGCATCGTACACTTAATCATCTCGTCCTCGTCGTCGTCTCCCGTCATACAAAAATCATCATCAGTTTTATCCGTTTGTTTGGACTTTTGACGAAAGAAAAAAGAAATCTCTTATATACGTATTCACACACACAGCGATAAGAGAAGTGACTAAATGACAAAATTATTTATCCATAACCCTGACTAGACAAGATGAACCCCATTTTATTCCTACGCGGCGCGATTCGCCGCACAGCGATTCGTAGGCTATCGGATTAACATTGTATACGTACATAGAAACATTCGTCGCACAACAAGCGTGGTAGCGCAGAGAACGTCGTCATGATCGATGAATCGATTAAAGATGATTCCCTAAGATATCTTCGAAATGTTTAATAAAATATGTATATAAACTTAGATATAGGATATAGCATAATATATGGGATCTCCAACAGTGTATATCCTTCTGGGTATATTATAACATATAAGGCTTCAACGGTGAACGGATAAAAAAAGCAGTGAAAATCAAAACTAGTAAACTAATTTAATGTGATAAAAAGTATTTGCAAGTATATATTCTTTTATTGTTTAATCTTTTTAATTTAAATTAATGACATGTAAGAAATATACATTTTAATACACATTCATAAATAATATAGTATTAGTTGCAACTTTTGATGCAAATTACTTTATCTATGCAGTGGAGCTATAACTAATAATTCATGATAATTTTTATCGCAAAAGACCTTGCGTATTTTTTAATTGAATCAGAAAATATTGACTTTTTATATGACACAGCACAGTTTTAATAGCAGTAGAATAAAAAATGTTACAAGAAAAAAAGAATCGATTAAAATTTATATATATATTATAGACACACACAGAGAGTACAAGATTGGAAACAATGTTATTTCTTTTTATATTTTTTTAATATATCTGTATCTATAAATTTTGATAAATATTTTTTGCATCGATCGACGACGATCACGACATTCTCTCCTATAGGATTCTCAGTATTTTGTGAACCCACCCACACACACATACACACACACACACTCAAAGATTTTCATTTTTTGAAAATCTCCCAACACATCAAGCTCACGACCATTTATTTTCTGCCAATGCAGTTACGCGATATGGCCACTCTAAGTGACCGGGGACATTTTGCTCGCACGAAAAAACTCGAGTGACGTAGGGCGAAATGGGAGAAGGGAGGAAGCTTGATAAACCGTTTAACTGATAAAATTGTTCACTAGTGACATGACGAATAATGATCGGCTAATAAAAATTAACCATAATGTAAAGATCATTTCGTCGTAATCATAACCGCATATGTTGTATCGTTCTTAAACTTTTATAATAAAAAATAGTTTGTTCTATATTTACACAAATTGTTTATAATTAAATAATTTAATTTAAAATATATGTGATATATATTGTATATTGATAACAGCTTAATAATTCAAATGATTGATTTTATATAATTCAATTCGAAATTTTGTAATGAAATTAGTTACATTCTTATCTTACATATTATCTCTTTTCTTGAAAACATATTTCTTTTCATATTTTCTTATATTTTCATTAAAACAATATTTTTATCGGTGGTATCTTTAAAAAAGTTCAATTTCACGCAAGTACCAACATTATTGGGATAGAGTGCATCTATGCAAAAATGACGCAGACATAGCGTGTCTTTGAATATTTTTTCATTTTTATTTATATAATTGTTTATGACGACCATGACTTTTTGATATAGTACAGACTATAAAACAACACTGTATGCGCTATTTGTTTTTGTTTTACATGAAAAAGAGGTGAATCAGTATAGAATATTTAAAAAGAATTATATATCTCCTTAATACAAATATATTACATTATATATTTCTAATAAAATAATCGGTCAAAATTTGACATTGAGTTATGCAAAATTTATAATGGATATATTTTTATCTTCTCGCACAAGTTTCCAAGTTAGGTATAGAACTACATTTATATTTTTGTAATACTTTATTAACAAAAAAATAATATATTGCTATGTAAATAAATTATTTGCTTTTTTAAAAATAAATATTAAAAATATCTGAATAAAATCAAATATGAGTTTACAGTAATTTTAATATTATAAGCAATTCCAGTTAAATATTAATATTGAATATAATGTTCGTGCGTTCATGCCGTAATTATGCATAATTATGCATTCATGTGTATAATATATACTACCGGTCACTTTATTAATTTGTATTACTTAACTGATAATTTTTATCGCGCAACTGATTTTGACTTTTAGCTTATTATGTGTAGGTACTGCGTAGAAATCATCATAAATTTAAAAAATAAGATTTAGATTTTTTATTTGTACTTATTACATCTCAATTATTACTTAAAAAATTTAAGACTGTGAAATCTACAAATATTTTATCATTCTAGACAGGAGATATGGAATGCGTAACAGCGGAATAATTTGTGCAAGAAAAAGATAATTTATCATATTTTTGCCGTCAAATGAATATAAAACTTGTTTTTGTAATGAACAATGTGGTTATTGAACTCTTAACATTTATTTGACTATATGAAAATATACGATCTTCACGATGACAGCTGCTCACGATAGGAAGTAAGCACTGTGTGCAGCGAGAGAATAATCGCGGAAAATGAATTGATTTGATTTTATATATTTTTTAAGAGAAGAATAAAATAATATATTACATTATATTATATAATAACGCTAGGAGAATTATTTAAATTTATTTTGTATATTGCCCTTTGAAAAAAAATTTCTTTTGTATTTTGTATTTTAAGCTATTAACATATGTATAATACGAAGTCTTTCGGTAGTCTAACATAATAAAATCTATTGACCTTAAATTATTAATTTTGAAATAGTGACAGAAAATAATTTTATTTATTATTAATTTTATATATAATAATTCTATTATATAAATAAATGTTAATTACATAATTAAATTGAATATGAGCAATGCTTTCTGTGTGATATTATGTATTAAATCATTATTGACAATATAATCAACTTACAAATAACGTTATAATCTAACGAAAAATATATCTCAGTGATAATTTAATGACATAATTAAGAATAATTAAGAATGAATTATACTTTTGCCTGTAAAATTTACAAAATGTAAATGCTGAAACGGCAATATTTTATTATATCGATCTATTTCCCAGTTTTCCCCGTGGAGATAACGATCATTTTCTATATATACCCTGCAATGTTTGAACTTAATACGAAAAGCGGCGATATATTAGATCCGGCAGTGACGATAATGCCAACCACTACTAAGTAATCTCGCTGTATAATAGGTGATCATTATCCCCTACGTCGTCAGAATAATGTGGATATAACTTCCATGTTTTTCTAAGAGTGTTAGACAAATTTAATGTGAGAGAAGAGTGGACGAGGATATATATAATAATTTCCCGATGGTGTCGATTTCCTCGCAATTCCACAACAAGCACTTATTAGTAGTCGTTGTAGTAGTTATCTTTGGTACAGGTTTTAGGCGTATATCATTAACAATCAAACGCGCGTGCATACGCGCGCGTTATAACAGTGCTTTTTAATTATTAATTAGATAGAGTTATGAAATTTCGAACGTTTTCGATTACTGTCAGTGCTTGACAATCTTGACTTTCAAGGCTATTACCGATTGCATATTAGAGCTTATTTCATAATTATAGTAATGTTATTTGTATTAATAGTAATGCTAATTACATGTGAGGCACGCAAAAGCTTTTTCAATGAACTGCACAAACAATTAAAGTTTAAGATGACTCAAGTTTATGGCAAGATGAAAGATGAACGGCTCCATTTCTATCCTTAAAACACGTCTTCTTTATTCATAGGCGTAAAACCGATTGTTAATCCTTCTTCGAAAAAAACTGCCTTCATCTAATCCCCAAAGTGAATTGATTATAAAATATT